AAAATCTTGGAATTTGGATACCAATGAGTTGACCAAAGGTTGGCATCCCCAAAGTGGCCTCACCAGGACCAAGGCAGGATTACAGAGCTAGAGTTGAAGGTTACAATGAGTTCCAATGGCTCGTAATACAATCACCAATGCCCATGTATTGAACTTCCATGCAAACCTAAAACGATAGGATTTGGAGGGCTTCTAGATACCGGAGGTTCTAGAAGATAGTACACTCGGAAAGGGTATGGAAGCTCCCTGCCTTTCCCACATCCTTTTCATCTGTAATTTCTTCTGCAGTATCTTTCACAATAAACTGAGTTCCGTGAGCCCCTCTACCAAATTAATGAAACCCAAAGAGGGGGTTATAGTCAGAAGCCCAGGTAAAATGACCAGGGGCTACGATCTGAAGTGAGGGGTGGGCCAGTCATGGGGACTGAGTTCACCCAAAGAAGGGGTTATAGGAACCCCAATTTATAGTCAGTCAGTCAGAAGCCCAGGTAAAATGACCAGGGGCTACGATCTGAAGTGAGGGGTGGGCCAGTCATGGGGACTGAGTTCTCGACCTGTGTGGGTTCTGACACCATCCCCAGGTTGAAAACGTCAGAACTGAATCGAACTGGAGGGCACTCAGTCGGTACTGGCTGCAAAATTGATTTGTGTGTTTGCCGGTGGGAGAAATCCCCACACATTTTGGGGCCACAGGAGATCTGTGTTCGTTGTTGAATGAGAGCAGAGGAGACTGACACTGAGTTTGTTGCCTCTCTATATTCTCAGACTTCCTTCAGATCTAAGTCCTCCCACAGCAGCTGTCTAGAGGGGCTCCCTCTCCCTGCTGGCAAGACAGCTTAGTCTTCAATCCATAACCACTTGGGTATGGATTACTCTCTAAGGCAAGGCTCTGACCTCTTCACTCAATGCTATTTCCAAAATGAACTCTCGATTCTCCCTATGTCTGCTCTTTTATTTGTTACCATTATTCACCCAGAACCTAGGATGTGAAAATCCATTTACCCTCTACCTTTCATTTAATCAGTTTCCAAATTCTGCTAATTGTGTCTCTGAAATTTTGTGTCTTGCACTCATTCACCCTTCCCATGTATCCCACCTCCCATGAGGCTACATCTTCTCAGGACCTCCATGTTCTCTCCACCTTTGTCCCTTCCTGCTCCAATCCACACTGACCATGGCAACATTAAATATAGAATATACAGCTTTGTACTCCTATCCTCTTCCGGGCTCCAAACTATCAATAGTTTCCTGTCAAAAAAAATTCCAAAGCTCCCTTTTCCACCAACATTTCCTATCCCTTTTCATAATATTCCCACCCCATGCTTCATGCTCCCGTGACACAGTATTGTTTGTTATCTGGAAGACATGACCCACCCTCCCCTACCACCATGCTATTGCCAATCTGGTTACTGCCCTGGAATGCCATCCCTACCTGCTCACGCATCTAGATAATTACCACCGATGCTTCCAGGAGACAGTCAAATGCTATTTTTTCTGTGAAGCTATTCTAAATCATCTGGCAGGAAGTACTCTTTTCCCTTCTGAACTCCATTATCAGTTAATACATACTTCTTTCCCCTTCTGAACTCCAATACCAGTTAATCCAACACCACCTAGCATTTGCATCCTTTGTGTATGTGTATTCTCAACCCAACAGGGTAACCTCCTTAAGGAACATCTCAGTATAAAAATAATCACATCAGCACGCTCATGTAATACCTCTGACATGGAGGCTATGGAAGATACAAGAACATCAGCTGACAGTTAAATTAGGAAATTATCCTCAACCAGTACAAAAATAAAGCAATAATATCAATAATTTTTTAATCAGCATATGCAGATGTTAGCTGATGTCATGAAAACACAAGAGATCTCAGAGAAAGTGAGAATTCTTAACAGAATGAAAAAACTGCTGCTGTGTATTGCAAAGGCTTCCAGGGTCAACTCTGGGACCATCGGGGCTGGGTTCTAATCCCAACTCTGGCTCTTACTTGCTATCTGACCTTGGGTAGATCATTTAACCTATCTGTGCCTCAATTTCCTCATATTAGAAATATGAACCTTACCTTGCACCCTTTCCACACAACTGTTGTGAGGATTATGCATATACTGTAAGCAAAACACTGAGAGCTTGGCACGTAATCAATGTAGAAGCATTGGCTAGTCTTATTGCTATCACTGTGAAAATGTTTAAATTGAGAAAAGAATACTAGAGGTAGATATGTGGTAGATGAGATGCCTAGCAGCATTTTTACCAGAAAAAAAGAGACTACTATCTCCTCATCAAGCCAGATTTACTATATTCCCTGACAGGGATTCGGACTGACTGACAGGTAGGGTGAAATTCACGGGGGTGGCTCTTTGCACAATGGGCTGAATCCCATGCAAACAAAGCAGGCACAGGAGACCACTGGGCCAAAGGAAGCTTTCAGCCATTGAAGGGCTCATCCACAAACAGCCATTGTCTCCCATGAACAACTCCAGTGTTGTCATCCAGATGGGCTCCAAATGCAACCGTTTGACTCACGTATTTCGGTCAGTGTTTCTGTGTAGGCGTATCCACAAGTACAATTAATTGCCGCAAAAGAAATCTAGAACTGTGTACTGAATTTAGTCTGATAAGCAAACTTTGGGGGCTCAGCTATTTAAAGGACACTAATTCACAGAATTCCGCTGGACTAGGCATAGAAGAGTCAGTTTCAAAGACTGTCATATCATATAGTGATTTATTCATTAATGGTGTGGGGGACAGCTGTGACTGCAGGTGTCAACATCTGTCATTTCCCCCTAAAAAATATTAAAATGCATTCAAACATAAATTGTCACAAACATCTCAACTTGAACTTGTGCTGCAGACATATACACAGTGAAATAAAACTGCTAGTATAGTTGATATCTTATTGCTTTTACTGAAAGTATTTATAGCTCAAAGCTGCTTGTTATCCACATGTCAAAATTACTGGAGTGGCAGGAATAACAAATACACATTTTATAATTATCTTATTTTCTGAAAAAAATATAGAAATTACAAGAATGATAGCAACAAGATTGATTCTACACAAGAATGAACAAAGAAAAATCTGTCTCTTTTCCATCATTGGAATCTCGGTTTATTCACTACCTGAAATACTGGCATGGCTGCTTCAGCAAGGATCCTTCACCCCAAGTGTCAGACAAGGTTAGAGAGGATAGGCTGCCCAAATGAACACCCCAAATTCTCAGTGGCCTAATGCAATAATGATTAGCTCTTCTTCATGTTGCATTCTAACGCAGCTTGGTAAGAGAGGTTCTGCTCCACATAATCCCTCAGGGTCCCAGGCTCCTTCCATCTGATAGTACCATTATACACAGGGCTTCAGAGTTCTGCCCTGGACCCCTGAAGCTGACTAGCAAATCAGAAAAAGAGTAGGTATGGAAAAGGCATTCTATTCTGCACTGTCTCTCATTTCCAATGCATCCCACTGGTGAGAACAGTTATGTAGCCCCATTAGATGCACAAAATAAATCTAATATAGTAGTTGTCAACTGGTGTTGACTGCTTCCCAGGGGACATTTGGCAATGTCTAGAAACATCTTTGACACAACTGGTACATTTGGTCTCTGGTGGGTAGAGTCTAGGGATTCTACCAAATATTCCACAGAATACAGGACAGATTCCCCACAACAAAGAATTATCCAGTCCCAAAGGTCAAAATGCTGAGATTTTGGTGTGCACGCAGTCAGACTCTGCTGTGGTCATATCACAGATCCACACTGTTCTACCATCATTTTCTAATGTACACTCTAATCAATCCCAGTAGACCCACATCCACATGTTAACTGCCTGTTCATTCATTTCCTTGTCAGTGCCTCCATGCATTCATCCAAACCCCTGAGTAAGATTCCTATACTTGGGTTGCTGTACCAAAATACTTCTAACTGGGTAATTTATGAACAATAGAAATGTGTTTCTTACAGTTCTGGAGGCTGGGAAGACCAAGAATATGGCACCAGCAAATTTGGTGTCTGGTGAGGGATCTCTGCTTCCAAAATGGTACCTTGTTGCTGCAGCTTCACATGGCAGGAACAGTGTACACAGTGTCCTCACATGGTAGAAGAGATAGAAGGGCTGGCAGCTCTATGGAGCTTCCTTTATTAGGGCATTGGACCCATTTACAAGCCCTCAGGGCCTACTCATCTCACAAAGGCCCCACTTCTTTTCATTTTGCCAGAGAGTGTGTGCACTCCTCGGAGAGAGAGAGAGAGAGGAGAGATAGGAAAAGTGAGAAAGCACCCCCCATGGGACATGGTCAGGCTGCAATCCCTTCTCCTCTATCTCTCCATCCTCCTGTGACTCTGGGCATGCATGTAAATGTGCCTGGCAGGTTTCTTAAACAGCCAGGTCTGGGACTCAAACCAAGCAGTTGTTTAATACCATCTCTGGGTTTCATCAATTTGGAGTCAATTTTCAACATAAATTTTCCAACATATACTTAATCATAGCGGTCAAAGAATGCACAATGGGGTGGCAGGGGGAACCACATAAACAATTATCACATGCAGGGGAAATGGGGTTATAAATGACAAACAGAAGGAAAATTAATTCTGCCTGAGGGGGTTGGAAAACCATCCACAGGGCAGATGAAATGGGGAGCTTGAAGGAAGCATACGAAAAGCCATGGAAAAATAGGATTAAAGTATGAGCCTCTTTGGTGCCAAAAACATCAAAATAAAAATCCATGCATAGATTTTTCACAATACACATTTTCCATGAATTTTTCTGCAGACCCCTCATATACTTCCAGCTTTCTATCATGATGTGTTTTTTGAGAAGAAAGAGAGGAAGGACAGGGAGGAAAGGGGTTTCTGGAAAGGGAACTGCACCATCAAAGAAATGAGAATATGAAAGGATATATATATATACACACACACACACATATATTTATTATTATTTTTTTAATTTGCCAAAGGGCCAGCCAGTGACACAGCAATATCACAATGTCCTACAAAGCTGGACTCACATGAGAGGGTCCTGGGTTCATGTCTTGAGATCTCCTTGCACACGCCAGGCATTTGTACATACCCCATGATCCAGGCTGGCTGAGGCTGGAATGGATCATGGCAGGAGGATCCTACTGGTGGTGACTCTCTCTCTCTCTGAATAAATAAACAAACAAAAACTACTAAACTGGAAAACTAAGAGATGATTTATTCTACTTTCTGTTATTGGAGAAAACAGCTACTAGGAGAGGATATAATAATTTTTTGTTGAGTTCAGGGTCAGCAGGTGGCATGGAAGTTAAGGTGGCTAGATCCCCATAACTGACTGCACAGTTCAAGTCCCAGATCCAGAGGCTTGAAAAACATGCTAGGTTCATGTACATGCACGTTCAAAATCCTGAGAAGAGAATGGAGGAGGAGGGATTGTGGCATGGTCATACCCTCTGGGAGGTGATCTCTCACTTTCTATCTCTCTCTCTCTCTCTCTGGCAAGCACTTGCACCCTATAGCAATAACTAAGTCATAAGTTCTGAACAACTGGTTAAATTTCATGCAACCATAGAGGCTTTCAGTCAACTGGCCCTTCTAGAGAAAATTCACACCAGCAGACTTCACAGAAACCTGCATTTGTGCAGGGCAAACTCGAGTGTAGCTGGAAATCTCACTGCAAATTCCACAACAGAATTTGTCACCCATTCTTTCAAACAATGCTACCTCTAAGTCAACATCAAACTGATTCAGGGAGATGGTTGATGGAAATCATTCACCTTTGCTCCTGAAGACCAGTCAGCTCTCTTCCTAAATCATGAACCAGGGTTTTGTTTGTTCCGTTTTGCTTTGCTTTGCTTTTTGGGTTTATTTTGTTTGGTTTGGTTTGGGGTTATTTTGGTTTTTGTTTTTTGGTTTTTTAATTTGCCAAAGGGCACATGTACTTGCTAGTGAGAGAAAGAGAAAAAGGGATAAAGCACCCTCCATGGAAAACGGTCATGACACATCTTTCCCTCCTTTTGGGATTTTGAGCACAAACACGTATACACCGGGCATGTTTCTCAAGCCACCAGGTAATCCAAGCAGTCAGCCATTGGACCTGCTCTTCAACAACCAAGCCACCAGGTAGCCTAAACCAGTTTTTTTGTTTGTTTGTTTTTGGGGGTTTTTTTGCAGGGTCTTTTTTTTTTTTTTTTTAAGAGTTTTCACTTCTCTCAGTCCCTAACCCAGTTGTGAACATGGCTCACAGGCTTCAGTTAAGACAACACGTTCGGTCTGGCTCTGTGGCACAGTGGTAATACGCTGCTCAAGAGAGGTTGGATCCTATATGGTGTCTACAGTTCAAATCCCTGGCCTGGTCTGCCTGAAACATTCCAGGAGCACACGTCAGTGCCCAGGATCCCATGGGCTAGGGGACTGGAGGATGTGGCCAGACTTTATGAATGGGGCTCCTCTCTCTTTCTCTGTGTTCTGTGACTCACACGCACATGCATGTACTAGATCACACATCTTTTTTAATTGCTAGAAGGTATACCGCTCACCAGGGACAGGTAGAGGGAAAGGGAAAAGCATCCCCGGGGTCAGCCATTAGTGCGGTGATTAAGGCAGCTGGATCCCACATGGTTGACTGTGCTGTTGCAGTACTGGATGGGGTAGGTGCACGTGCATGCATGCCCAAAATCCTCAAAGGAGAAATGGCGAAGGGAAAGGATTGCAGCATGACTATTCTCCATGAGAGAGTGCTTTCTCACTTTCAATTTCTCTCTCTCTCTTCCACTAAAAACTTTCCCTCAAGTGCATAAGACTTCTAGCAATTTGTTTTTAGAATTATTCTTATGTAACTTTGTTTATTTTAATTTGACTAAAGGGAGACAATGAGAGAGAGATAAAGTGAGAAAACAAGCCACCAGGTCCAGACTTGAACCATGGTCAGCCATGTGGGAATCCAGTACCTTTAACCACCATGTCACCTGCTGGCCCATCTAGCAAACTGTGTTTAAAAAGAAAGCATCCCCCAGCGTGGCATGGTAACATTGCAACTCCTTCTCTATTGCTCCATCTGATTGGGCTTTGTTGCACATATACATGCACCCAGCTTGTTTTTCAAGCCGCCGGGGCCAGAACTGGAACTGGGGCTCAGCCATGTGGGATCCGGCTCTCTTAACCACCAGGCCATGGAGCCAGTCCTATCATAAACTTTAACAAAAAATTACCGCAGATTCTAGAACCAGACTGCCTGGGCCACATCCCAGCCCTGGCATAAACTCACTGTGTAACCCTGGGCAAGTCCCCCAGCCTATGCAGGCTCTGCCATCTCCCAGTAATGTGCTCAAAGCACTTTAAATGCTTTATTATATACCTAAGGCATATAATAAATAGCACCTATTATACTGCACTGGAGTTACCTTGCCCAGAAATTGTCTTTCAGCTGTCATGAAATACATTGTGGAGGGATCAGCAGTTGGCATAATGGCCATGTCGCTGGACTCCCATATAGTCGGTTACAGTTCGAGTCCCAGACCTGGTGGCTTAAACTCAGGCCAGGCACGTGTGTATGTGTGCCCAAGATCCAGCGAGGAGAATGGAGGAGAGGGGCTTGCGGCAGGGCCATCCCCCCCCCCAGGGTGGGGGCGATTTCTCTCTTTCTGTCTCTCTGCCTTTCTCTGCCTTTCTGGCGAGTGCATGCGCCCTATAGCAAAAACATAAAAAAAGAAATACATGTGGAATCCAACATAGTTTGGAATGGAAAATATCTAATAAATATCCATGCCATTTTGTAGAATATTATTAATAACAACTTCAAATAGCTTTGGGCAAGATGCTTTTAATTATGAAGCCAACATCACCATGTAAACAACAGTTGTTCTTGATTTTGAAGCTAAAATTGAATTTAAAAAAAAAAGACCCTACTCCTACATAGCTCTTTACCCCATTCGTCCCTTTACTCCCTCTTCCTCCCTCAAACCGGCTTTCTCTTTACTTTTCTTATTTTCACTGTGACCAGCTTCGGGAAAACCAAGTATATTTAGCTGTTAAATACTATAGATTATGTCGAACAGCACCAGTCACTTCGTACTAAAAAGCCTCATAAAAGGAAGAAATGTGTGTCTTTACAAGTCAGAATCTCAAGGGAGGAATTAAAAGGAGGGAAGCAGACTCCAAGAACCCACAGGACGATGAACCTGTTGGGAACCGCTTCCTCTAATGGTGAGGTGAGAATTCCTGGTTGCAGGAAACCTAGGAGCCGTGGGGTTTTAGTCTAAATGAAACCGCATTCTTCTTTACTAGAAGTGGTGACCACATCTAAGAGTGTCACCCTTTCCAACAGTCAAAGACACACAATCCATGGAAAGTTGAGGCAACTAGACCTAGAGCCAAATCAGGTTTAGAATTCAAACTCGACCATGCCTTTCTCAGTTCCCAGTGTGCAGGGCACTCAGCTCCCTGGGTGCACAGTAAAGAGAGGATTTAGCATGGGCAAGGACAGGATCCACTAGTAGGGTGAAATAAGTGTGGGGTGAAATCTGACCTATTCTTTTTTCCTTCTCAGTGAAGACATTTTTCCTTGTAAATGATCAAACTTCGGACAGGGCAGTGTGACTTCCTTGAGATGCAACTCTCAGATACCTTATTTATTATTTTGTTATAAACCCAAGGTGTATGAGCAAATGTATTCCTTTTTAAAAAATTATTTATCATCGTTATTATTTTAATTTGCTATAGGGCACATATGCTCACCAGAGAGAAAGAGAAAGTGAGAAAGCAAGTTACCAGGTCCAGGACGTGAACCGCAGTCAGCCATGTGGGAGTCCAGCACCTTAACTACCATGCCACCTGCTGGCCCCAAATGTATTCATTTTTAATAGCTCTAACTCTTGTTAGGGGACAGGGTAAACTCTGCAGAAAAAATGCTAAGTCTTTGAACTAATATTTAGTATTTTATGTAGATGATGGCAATTTAATGGAAACAGTTACTGTATTAAGTGATGTTCTTAGTGTAATTTCTTGTTTATAAATCTCTATTATTGTCACTTGATGTTTTGAGTAAATTTTACAGATTCTTTTAAATCATAAAAGAAATTAATTTTCATGTATCAAACAAATAAAGGCATGGGCAGGCCCCACAGCTTAGTGGTTAAAGAGCCAGATCCCACTTGGATGACTGATTTGAGTCCCAGCCCTGGTGGCTTGAAAAACATGCTGGGTACAAGTTACACATGTCCAATTTCCTAAGGGAAGGAGGAATGCAGGAAAGAGAATGATGGCATGACCACATCCTATTAGTGGGTGCTTTCTTTCTCTGTCTCTGTGAAAAATACATATAAACGCGAGTGACTGAATGCACTCTCTGTCTCTAAGACTCCCTTCTCTTTCTCTGTCTCTGTGAAATACATATAAACGCAGTGGCTGAATGCACTCTCTGTCTCTAAGACTCCCTTTCACAGAACAGCCATTTATCTTTTTCCTAGGTGAAGGAATAGACGATGAAGAAATCTGGCTTCTCAGGAAGTAGTGAATACGTTATCTCGGTGTGCATAATGATTACATGGGAAAGGGTGACATAAGTGTTTGGCACCTGCCTTCAGATGCTAGGAGCACGGTTTACGGAACTGACAAACCTACAAACTAATTACTATTTGGGGGAATTTGCTGTAGGGACTGCTTGCACCAACCTCACAGCTCTAGATGAGCAGTTAAACTTTCCAAGGAGAAACAACATGGAAGGTTATCATTTGAGGCATCAGCTAAATACTAGAAGAATGTGAGGCTGGCCCAAGTGCCTTATCAGTCTCCATCAATCCCGCACATTAGTAATGGAGCTTCCCAGACAGGGAAGGCCGGCCAAGTGGAGTCCAGGCCCCGATACCTCCACCCAGGCCTGGGCTCTTTCCCAAACCCTGTGGTATTACAGACTCATCACGAAATCCCTCTGGAATCTCTGGGAGGAAAACACGAGGTACCATGTGCACAGTGGCCCCAGCCCCGTTCACATTACTATCATGTTTACAGCACGGACACGACCAAAAGCATCCTTGCTGCAAACACAAGCAAGGCAACTCATCAGATAGTGTACTGTGGTCCCACCAAGAACAAAGCTGGAAGTTCGTACATAACTATGCCCCAGCAGTCAGCACAACAGAAACCCAGGGTACATCTGGATGCATGCT